TAAAAAGGCCTGGACCCACAACGGTGATCTAGGCGCCATTCACAAGCGTGAAAAGGGAACTAGGCGATGGGGTTGACACAGTGGACAGCAATGTTCTATAAGAGCAAGGCGGGCTTTCATCAAGAAGGCTAAATACCTACAGATTGAAGACATTGATAGGATTGTTAGGCGAAAACAGGAAGAAAGAGCAAAGGACGCTTTCCATCGACTGAGTGCAATGAAACCGTATAAGGTATAGGCAACAGGGAATTGCACAGTCGACTGAACACAAATCAGAAGGGGGAGGAAGAAGGCACTGTTAACGACAGTGCGGTTACCAAAACTGAGCAAATGCTAGATCTCAGGAGAGATCATCCTATTTCCTGAGCACTGTCGTGTGCGCAGACCTGCTGGGTATTGAAGTACATTTAAACCTAGAAAGCGATAAGACGCCTTTAGGTGTTGTCTAAGACGAAAACAATTTCACCGGACAAAGTTAGCAGCTTAAGCTAAGTCAGCCAAATAAGAGTAGGCTGTAATAGACAGCAAGCCAACCATTACCACCATCAAAACTCCAGAATGCTACAAGAATCTTTGCTGCAAAGAGAACGACCGCAAAGTTCGCGATGCAGAAGGAAAACAACAGACTCTCCTACTTAAAATTAGCTGCCAATGTAAAGACTGTGTCACAGCTGTCAACTCGAAATAAACATAAGCGAGAAAGGCTGTATCTGAAACTTCGAAAACTGTGTAGCGACCTTGTATTCTAACACATGCATGTCCCGCAAATCTGGCTCTCGTGTCCAGACGGTGTCAAAGCTCCAGTCAAGGTCACGGACGTGTCCGGCCAACCACTTCCCAAGGCCAGTTCACAAAGGACCTTGTTGCCGATGACTGACTATGACTGACCACCGGACTGCGACTTCGGACTGGCCAACCTTCACGGCTAGACTGCACATGTCCGTGAATCAACTACCTATTACTCATGTTCCGCTCCTTCAACACTTAATTATATTATCCCTAACACTCTTGCCTTCCACGCCTTATCTTATCTACTAGTTTATATCCGTTGGGATACGTTCTATCTTCTATTATCCAGTCGGATTACATCGTATTCCACAACTGCATGGTTTACAGTTCAGGCGCACGGCTCAGTGAACTCCGTACGGCTTAACGGGTCTTACAACACTCCCTAAACGAAAATCCAAATAGAATGTGTTGTCGACCCAAAGAGAACGACAGTGAAATCTGACGAAAACGGTCGGACATTCATTAACCACCCCCATTACACCATCAAGTCCAACGGCGGACAGAGCAGGGCAGATGCAACTGCATTTCCTTGACGAGGCAAACGATGCAGGTTAATCACAACTGTCCCCGTTGCACCAAGTAAGCGGCCATGAGCACCCAGAAAAGTGTAGAAATAGAGGACCCGTGGTAGCCCGTTTTTGGCATCGTTTACACATACCGTCAATCTGTTCGCCTCACGTCGCCTGCTACTTCGCCACTGCAGTCGCGCGGGGCTGACCTTGAACTCCAGATCGCTCAGAGCTGCTTTCTCCGCTGTTTTTCTGGCCACAACGGCTTGCTGTCCCACCTTTACAGTTTTTTTTCCGGTTCGGCAAAACTTCTTCAAAAACTTCATCTTCTATAGACAAAGATACACGAAACTAAAACAGCCCTTTCTAGCTTCTTGACCGTCATCAGCCAGTCAACTTAGCCCAGGTAGTGCACAACCCGATGCTCGAGCCTGCGTCCTGTTGATTAGAAGCCCACTACTACAACCCAGTGCGCCACGGGCTCGTTGTCTTGCCGATTTAAATCGCGAATATTAACCCCCCCCTGCCCCGTAATCGATCGGTGAGCGTCCATCGTGGCGGTCCTGAGATCGGCGCCACTATCGCTGACTTAGCTTTTCCTTCGGCTGGCAGGCTTCGTAATAATTTCTACTTTCGCAGCCGGCCCGTAATACGCTATGACCGCCTGACCGCGGGAGCCGCTTGTATTGTCCCCTTGCCTGTCTATCGGTCGGGTCGATGTCTCACCTCTCGGCCATTAGCCTCGAGAGTTCAGTGTGCGCCTTTTCCTGATTGGCTGAGGCAAAGAAGGACCAGACAGGGTTGTCTTCTAATCCTGTGCGTACACAGGCAACAGCTGGCTTGTTTACCGTGAGCAGCTTGTTTCTGCAGAGCCTTTTGTTAGCTCCTTTTTACAGTACACTGTCCAACCTAGTTAGTCTTACCTGACTTCTGACTTATAGAACCTTGTGTAGTCGATGATCACCCCTTTCGAAATCATCAAACAACACTTTGCCTTTCCGGACATTTTATTGGGAGGCAACGTCATTGTACCCTCGACAAGATTACTGATCAATATATAGTTGATTAACTCGAAGAGCCGATTGACGGTCTGCCCATTTGTGCTCCATTGTGAGGAGTTGGACAAAGGAAATAATGCTATTAAAAGATTCGGTCCGCGAAGACACTTTTCCGCGAATTACCCACTCAAATTAGCCTTACATTTCAGGTGAAGATACATGCGTATGCCGTGTATCCTTGTCAGGTTAACTACATTACTGTATCACGGGCATTAATGGCGATTGCAAAGGCATGGTTTTGAAGAGGCCAGCTAAGGTTCAAAGTGTTTATTCAGGGGACAGGTTGATCACCAGGCCGGAGGTAATGAAGTTTCATGCGCCATGGGACCCCGATGAAGAGATAGTCAGGGGAGGTCAGATTCACAGCGTCACTGCAGGCGCATAGCATGCAACGGAGACGCGAATCTTCAGTTGCTGCGACACGATGTCTGTCGCCGACCTTAGTGACGTGTAGGAGGCTTATTTTATTCACGAAAAAAATAGGCTGCGTGTGAAAAGCTATTTGCACATGACCGCCTTCGCCGACGTCAATATGCGTCGACGAAGCAGCTTCGAGCAGTCTACTGAAAATCACTTGCGCGATCAGGAAAAAAGGACTACCATGTAGTATTCGACAGTGCGTACGTCGTGGGACCGATAATGCACAAATTTTAGTTAGGATGCATATACAGTAGTCGCCAGCTATTAAGCCCACCTCGGGCCCAGACCAATTTGGGCTTAATAAGCGGCGGG